AAATTCCTCACCTGATAAGACATTCCTTTGTAAGGGACTGTCTCCAAAGTCTAACCCTTATCACTACAATAGAGTGCTAGCACTCTCCACCCTCTGTTCCTGATGCTTCATAGGAGCACTAGCGGTGATAGGATTTCCTTGTTCGCAGTGTACTTGTAGTAGCCTAGACATAATTTGGTCCATAATAAACTTGTACTAGACCAGCTATTATTTGGCCCATAATAAACACCCAAAAGGATCTTCTACCCAATGCCATATTCACAAAGGCTAGAGGAAGAAATGAGGAGTGAAACTTATGAGGTACATAAAGTATGTAAAAATGTAAGAGAAACTTTCTAAAATAGAGAAACCTAATATTAGACTAAGTTAACTATAGTCTCTTGTTTCCTTCACTTACCTTGCTTTGTTCAGGAAGCTGTGGTATGCTGGAAGGCTCACTGGTTCTGACCTGAACTTTTATTTGAGCTGCGTTTCATTTGGTGTTGAGGGTAATATAAAATTTACCTGAATAATACTATGATACTCTCTGGACAGTGTTTCTATTCTGCATCCCTTATTCACACAGAAATTAATAAGATATTGCTAAACTTAACTTAGAAGCTCACTTTTGTCATTAGTATTTCTATATGCTGAGAAACAGCGTTTGCTGTCACAGATAAAAGTGAAGTCAGTGGTGGCAATCGGATTTTTTCCTTCAAGCATTTAACTATTTTTGTATTGAACTGATGTGAAATTACATGAGCTCTGATCATGTGAATAATGCATGAGACTTAAGACAAACACACGATAGAAGCCTATTTTTCATGTCAAACAATTCTTTATTTTTATGGTACAAATTAAAAGTGACAGATCTGAAGCTGTTAAGAAATACACAAAGTGCAGCTTTTACTGACCATACAGATATTGCTCTAGATTAAGTACAGTTTTTGTCAGTTTTTTTTTTAATGTTAAGCAACCTGTGCAGATAAATCAGCTTTGGTTTCAAAGTCAGAGCAGAAGGAGCTTTTAAATATCCAGTTTGACTTCTTGGTCACAAGTCCACCACATCAACTCCTTTTGTAATTATTAGTACTTTTTAAACAACGCGATACAGTCCATTTGGTACTGCCATCTTTCCTGCTGCATGCTCCATGCATGGAAAAGCAGATCTCTTTGCAGTGCTTCATAAGTGACCCTGGTGACCATTCTGTAGATTATAGCACATAGGACAAAAATAATAATAATAATAATATCACTTTCTTAACAATAAATAAACAAATGTGCCCCACATAATCTCAAGTTGGAAACAAGCAAATCACATGACAAAAAGCTCATTACAAAATGTTATCCAAACAGATTTTACAGTCAAACATTGACGTGGAAATCAATTTCCTCTCATTTTTATTTCTTCTTTGAATGTTGGTCATTTACTGGGTACAAGTAGAGTGCTGAGGTAAAACACTGATGAACAGTTTATTTTTGTATTTTTTTTAAATAGTAACAGTTTAGTATTGCGAGATTGTCAGCAACATTTAGCCATATCTATACAATGTGCATATACCTACATACATTGAGCTTTGGTCCAGCATTGAGAAGACGAGCAAAGGCATTTTACATATTTCTTTTTGGTTATAGCTTGAGTTCTTTGATACGCCTCTACTTGTTCCTTCCTAGCTCCTTTTTGCTTTCTTGTTCTCTCTCTTTCTCCCTCTCTCTTTTTTTATTTTTTATTTTTTTTTTTTTGCGGTTTATAACATAAAGAAACTGGAAATCTTTGAATGTATTGAATTTCTTAAGCTGTCTGAAATAGTTTTTTTTAGTGGAAAACATAAAAAAAGACAAAACAGAACAAAAATTAACTGTTGGTTCATTAGTCAAACAATATTTTTAAAAAGAACTCCATTTTAAACAAATGGCAAAACCATTATACAATCACACATTATTGAGGAACCTTTTGTCACATGCAAAATTAAAGGGTAATTAAATGCAACAGAGATATGAAATTTGTTTACAAATGGAAATCAGAAATGTTGTCAGTAATAAAATAAAACAATATATATGGCCCAAAAAGATTTATGAATCACACAGAATTTATCTTCCGAAGAATTTGTTCAGGCACCATTTATGCCTTATAGCAACATTTTGTTTGTAAAAAATTAATATAAGAAGCATTACAACACCTTATAAATAATTTACAAAACATAATACAAAATTAGAAAACTGTAAAAAAAAAAAAAAAAAAAAATCACTGCACATGAATGATTTTAAGACCGTGGAATGAACATCAATTTTTGTTCCAAGCTGGCAATTTATATTTATTTTACAATTTTACTGTCCTGGTTATATCTTTTCAATATGTACTTTGGAACAGAAGTGACCTCATGTAACTGCTGCCAGCGTATTTTTAAACATTTAGCATCCTTCATACAGTGTTTAGGTATCTTTTCTTCTTGGGGAAATTTTCTATGTAGAATTTGGAGCAGTTCCTGGGAGAATCAGGAATCTATTTTTTTAGGCAAAGAGCAGTTCGTTTTGTTCCTGGATCTGTTCAATTGCTTTTCCTGTGTGTGTAGTTTCAGAAGTGGTGGAATGGGTGATCATATTGAAGCCCAATTTGTAGTATACTGGAGAGGTAAGACTTCAGAAGCATCCACTTTCAAGCACTATCTATTCTTCATAGTTTCCCTGTTGGTTTCTGGGTGCCTTCCTGATCATTACTTCCATTCACTTGTAGCCACAAGTATACTACAACCTTACCTTTATTGGTGAACTAGCCATACAGGTGGGTACAGAGAAAGAAAGAGTCAAAGGGACAGAAGTTGCTGTGAAGTTACCTCTTTCTCCACTTCGATGCACAGTTTGAATTGAGTCCCTTACAAAATTTACCTGCAGTTAATTTGTAGGATTTTTCCCCTAGGTATATTTACATTTCAACAGCAGGAAAAGTGACTATAACAATTTCCCTTTCTTTCCCCTGCCCTCAGAAAAAACAACAAAGAAAATATATTTATATGCACCCCAAAGAAGTTTACAGCCTAATAAGTATTCACTAGACATAAGCCTAACCCAGGCCAGTGGATACATCTCATTCTCAACCTCCGACACTGGGAAAGCTCACATCTGGATTCAGTTCTAGCCACAAATGCTGACATCTGGAGATTTGAAATCCCATGGGTTATGTAGAGAATTTTTCATTCTGCAGATTGAGCTCCATTTATACAACACAGAAGGCCAGAGCTAAAGCCCCGTGAAGTCATTGGAAGTCCTTCCATTGATTTCAGTAGGCTCTGAATCAAGTCCCGAGTACTTGGAGAATAACTCTGCAAGACAGGTATAATTTGCAGGCTTTGGAATTCTAGTCTCAAATCAAACCCAACTGTTTTGAAGTCAGTGGAGTTAATCAGGATTTGCACTGCCATAAACAAGAGCATTTTAGCTATTGCCTGTAAAATAAGTGCAACCACTATCCAAAGTGTGAACTTTCAGGAAGTTTAGATCAGGATGAGCCCTCTATTTTATAATGCACCAAACCAAACTGTTGGATCAGATCTCAGAAGATGCTTGGATCCACAAATGAGCTTTGCAGGTCAGGTCCACAAACCAAAAACTTAACTCTCTTCTCCTCAGAATCATACTTTTTGATCCAATAATCATAATGTTTTAGAAGATGCCAAAATCCATCCAGAAATGAAGACATGGCGATAAGTTGCCTTAAAAATATCTTTTTAGATGAAACATGTCACAGGTGACCTCCTTCCCTATTTTCAAAGGATTTCCAATGCACTGTTCCCAAATCCTGGTTGTTTAGTTTGGCCTGCCATGGCAGTACACATTCACACAAGCTCATACACTTATCTACCTACACTCATTCACTTTCTCCCTCTCTCCTTCTCTCTCTCTTTCTCTCTCTCTCTCTCTTTCTCTCTCTCTCACACACGCTTCAACAGTAGTATTTGACAGGGAAAACATCAAAACCAGGACAAAAATAATGCAGACAAGATGAAAGAACTACTAGTAAATCAGTCCATAATGGTATAAAGATCAAATGTCCTCATTACTTCTTGGCCTGTCCATTTGTTTTCATCAGAATCTCAAGAAATTTCTTTGGCTAGCAGACTTTGGAGAGAATTTGCTTTACACAAAACCAGAACAAAGATGCAGTATCGAACCAAGTGTGCAGTTTATATTTATATTACAAAATTAGTTTTGGTAACCTCTCCAGGTTCGTGGCCAAAGGACAGAGAAATCGCAAGCTATGCTGTCGACAATGAGCACAATGTTCAGCGTGTGCACTAAGTTGACAGTTCATCAGACACAATCCTAATCCTTCTTTGTCCTCTATTGCATTTCAACACATCTATATGAAAGTGTTTAGGCTTCGCTTTTAAAAATCTTTAAACACTATAGGGAGAAGGGGTATGGGTTTGGGGAGGAGGCAGCAAAAATGGGTCAGAAAAATCAAAACAGAAATGCAAATCAAGAATGACACCTTAAAAAAAAGATGCCGAACCCCACAATTCACAATCAATAGGAGTTATTTTGGCACACAAACACTTGGAGATTGCAGAATGGTGTAGATGAAAAAATAGGTGAACATTGTGGAATGGCTTTAACACCTGTTATACCCACCTGCGGAGGGGGTGTGGGGTGTGTGATACAGGATGGGAGAAATTAATCCTTTTTTCCCTTCTTTGTAAAGTACAAATGTAAAAATTCATAACACAATTTTATGCTCGTAAAAGAGTAGACTAACAATCTAGTTTGCAATGCCATGTTTCTGACTTTGGTTAATAGTTTTCATAGTGAATCAGCACTTGATACCTGAAAGGCTACCATCATTCCTCCAGGTGGCAGGCTTGTATTCTCTTTTAAACAGATAAAAGTTTTTTTTTCTTTTTGTTTTTTTTTCCTTAAAACGTGTTCACATTTTCATAATATACAGAAAAAAGTAAGCAGTTATTTGGTTTACTTTAAGTCCATTTAAAAAAAACTGGCTTTTTTTTGGAACTAATTCTACGACACACACACACACTAAGTGCTGTGTATTTTTTTTGTTTTGTTTTTATATAGGAAAACCCACGGACATTTATAAACTGTTCTGTCCATCTTGTAGTTTTCTCAGTCTTTTACTTACAAGGGTGATGAATGAGCTTTTTTTCACAGAGTTCAAATGGTTAAATTTTGTTGGTGGTTTTTTTTTGTGGTTTTATTTTAGGAGTTTTCTTCCAGAGAGTCTGTTAAGGGCTCCATAGGGACTGCTGTTGCAGGCTCATGCTGTTTTAAACGTTTAATTGTGTTCTTCAGTGCTTGCCTCTTATTGCAGAACCAAACTCTAACTACTTCCCGGTCATAGTTCAGTTTCTCTGCAATCTCTGTCATTTCCTGCCCAGAGGGATGCGTATTCTTCTCAAAGTGAGCATTCAAGATCTCAAGAGCTTGTGGCGTGAATGAGGTACGCCTCTTGCGCTTTTTGGATGGTTCACTTCCGATAAACTCAGTAAGGTTCTGCATACCTGCTCGATGGCGGGCCTCAGCCTCAGCCATCCACCGCTCAAGCACCGGCTTTATCTTCTGGGCACTTTTAGGGGTGATGTCCAGCTTTTCAAACCTGGCAGGATACAAAAGGCCAGGGTTCAGTTTGGCTGTCAGACTGCTAGCTATAGTGTTCTCTTGGGCTTCCTGTGGTAGGAAAAAGTGGCTTCTCAGGATCGTGTGTCTGAGGGAAAATTGAGAAAGAAGAGTCTTACACTGATGCTCTGCCAGGGTGGGACTTCCTGCCTGCCTGACTAATTAACTGGCAGAGGTAATTTACAATGGATTACGAAAGCCATGAGATAGGTATATATATTCAAGCTTACACAAAATGAACACTGACAAATTTCTAAGAATTCAGTATGCTACATAATACAAACTATCAGTTCAATATTCATATTTCACGATCAGCTTTTTTCATCCTCAAAAGCTGCAAATCCAAACCTAATTACAGGAAATGACATCAGAGATAACAGCTCTTTAAGATTTCTTACTCGCGATTAACTATTTTATTTAGTCTTCGAACTTGTGTTGTCCAAATGGCATCACTTCAGTAATACAAAGCAGTGGTGGATACCAGGCTCTGAATTTCAGTTTCCATTCCTTTTATTTTAAAGCAATTTTCACCGTATGCAAGTTAACACCATGTCCCTTCTCTTGGTAGGAAGAAAGACTCCCTTAGCTACTGTACTGTTCAGCTGAAACAGCTGGACATATTGTAATTATCCTGAATACCCCCACAATGTGTTAAGACAGACTCATCCTTCCAGATGAAACCCAGCATAATAGTGCACTAATATGCTGTGGCACCAAGCTGGGTTTATTGTGGGATATCTGCAAACTGTACCAGAATGATATCATTTCCTGTAAATGAGGTCTTCTATATATCATTTTGCCATCAAAAAATCTTTTGCTAGACCAGATTCTACAAATACTATGAAATATCTGGAGAAACAGCCACACAAAGCTTTAATTCTTTCTAAAAACAAACATAAGAATTGAGTTCACATTTCAGATCTTCCAGTATAAGGTCCTGCTTCTTCAGTATATCAGGTTGATATGCTTCAGCTTTACATTTAAAATTCTTCATCAAATCCCGTAACGTCAATTTATACTGCCCCCCTCTCCACCCCAAGCATTAAAATGACACTGTTGAAAGGCAAACAGTACTGCATGACATCCCAGTGAGCTATTCAGGCCTCGTGGTGCTGAAATGCCACTGCTATTAGTAAGCAGAATATGCTTGAGAAGGAGGTTTGGAAGAGAAGGCAGATTGAACCCATGCCTTAATGTGTACAGACCCAGAATCTAGACTTGAGGATACTGATTCAGTGTCAAAACAAGAGAACTTTGGATTCAGCAAGTGGCAACTTCAGAAAACAGTCCAGGAGGAAATACATTATTTCACATGCAAATAACTGAGAAGAAATAATTATGAAGAGTAATTTCCAGAAAACTTCTAACAGTTGGGTATATTTCTCTGGTGGAACTCATTGTTCTTTTGCTACCATGAGGGGAAAAGTAGAATTCATTATTTCCAACAGGTTGTTTCCAAAGTGGCCTGCAACCTTGCTTAATAAGTGAATAGTCACTGCAGATTTTTGGAAAGGGGATAAAAAGGTAAAAAAAATTACAGCCCTATACACTTAGAGCAGATGAGGAATGCTTCATTATGTTCAGTAGTGAATTAGTTCTTAACAAGCCTCAGTAGTCAATAGGACTACTGAAGGAGAAGGATCATATCCAGTATAGGAGCTCTACAATCTGACCCTTGGATAGTTGCATCCAACTTAATCATAACTGTGTCTTTCACGGTTTTTCATAATTTAGTAGGAATCCTTTTCCTCATTTTAATTTAAAACATCCTCACTTTTTAATTTGGAACTGTGGTTTAAGATAAGAGAGGGAAGAAAAGAAATAAACCAAAGAGAACTGCAATTTATACATTTTAAATATGGCATGTTTAAAAAAAGAAGGAATGTGAAGCTCCAGCAAATTGGCAATTGCTAAGAACTGCTTGTTTTGGGTCTTCTTTACCAATCAACCATAGAGAAAAAAAATAAAATTAATGCCTACCAACAGGGGACAATAGCATTCATATCATTGCCATTGCTTGTTAGTGTTGATGCTTCAGCACATGTTGTTTGCTATAACGATATACAAGTCTTGAAACAAATTTCCCAGCGGTAGTATCCTTGTATAGACTGAATAAAGGTTATTTTCTACAGGGAGGTATCTTATAAGAAAAAACAGTAGGGGAGGCTATAGAAGTGAGAGGATCCTATGGAGCTTTTTGTATTTAACAACAATCAATGGGTTTTATGGAAAATCATTGAGCAAAATGTGAGCTGCAAGCTCACTACCCCATACTGATGTTATTTATAACCTTAGTCTTAAACTGCAGGAAAAGTACACTTCCGTTCTATGGGGAATACATTAAAAGTATAAAGAGCAGATAAAAAGACAGAGCATTTCATGGATCACCAAGAACAAAATCCACTTAAATGAGCTTAGAGTTGGTTTCTTGGCTTTCGCTGATGGAGGAAGACTATAAGGCATTGCCCAAGAGGAAAAAGCTGTTACCTAAGTGTGTTTGTTATCTCATGCATAAACATGGGATTAGTGTAACATACATACATGCATACATGGTATTTGCCTCTAACTACTTTAACTCTGTCAAGACTGCATTTTTTGAGGGTAGGGTAGAATCTTACTCATTTTTCTGGATGTGCTTGTTTTAAACACTTGGGTGATAAAAGATTAATGCCAAAAACTCTGCAAGATAACACGAAGGTTAATTTTCTCCCCCTTCTGTGTTGCCTAGGTAAATCATCATTAACATCCTATATATGAAGTGCAAACCACAGTAATACAGGCTTTAACTTAGCAGGGATGCAGCCATGAAATGTTTGTTCAGTAACCCTATCTGTAGAAAATAGCACAGTATGAAGAGGGTCAGCTGGTGCTTATGCAGCATCAGCAGGGGCTCCAGCTCCACTACTGAATTAAATCTCAATGCCAGGAACATATTTATTGTTTCCTACTTGTTAAAAAAACAGCCTGAAAAGACTGAAGTTACTTTAAGGGCACACAGTAAGCACATTTCATCTGCCAGATACCAACACTATTTGTTAGTCTAAGTCCCCCATGGAAGCAATGAGTTCATATAATTAAAATACTCACAACCAACCCTTCCCCTCCCCAACCAAATAAGAGTAATAAGTAAAATTAAGAATGAAGAGAGGAGAATATAGCATATTATGTAACTTGTTACCTGCAGATAGCAGACTGGCTATAGGCTGGGCCTTCAGTGGCACTTAGAGCTTGGCCAACTTGAGTCTGTGTCAGACCAAGAGACAGGCGCCGGATTTTAAAAGCTTTGGCAAATTCTCGTATTTCCTCCAGATTCACCCCGTCCACCTCCCCGGTGGCTGTTTGAGGATCTGTGGAAATATTTTTTCAATGGTGTAAATTCTTCACATCACATATGAGCAGTTTAGACTATGTATTTTATTCTGAAGTATAAAGGAGGTTCCTCCACTTTGAGAAATAAGGCAGGGACTTTCAGTTGTATTACAAATCATTTATAATTTATGTCCTTGCTAAAATGCTAATTATTTACAGACTAAGGTAGTTCCAGTTCACTTCAGGGCTATGAAACAGATCATGAAAGGCATAACTGGCACAATTGGCCAGGTGCCTAATTTCCTCTAGGTGCTGGCATTAGGGAAGTCAACACATGGCTCCTCACTTTCATTTCTACCTTTGGAAATCATGCCTAATTTCAACAAATAATACTCACTTATTATCCCTGACTCACATAAGGGGCTGATCTATATATATTAATATCCTTGGGGACTTAAAATACACATAACTAATGAAAATGGGATGATGGTTTCATTGAAATGATGGCTTTTCTATACTGTCTGGAACAAATGCAAATCACAAAACTAAATGCTACCCAAAGTAAACCACCAAGATATTTCTCTTTGAAACATCTTAGTGTTATAATCAGTTCCTAAAACATGCCTTTGGGTGAAACAACCTCTCACGGTTTTCATTTTGCATCCTATCGGGGTGGCAATCAAGGAGTGGAGCATTTGCAACTTGTGCCATCGTGTTTCAGATGGTAATACTGCACAATTTTTTATTTTTACATTAGACCCTCAGACGATAATGCTCATGATGCTGTGAGAATAAATTTGTCCTTTTTCTCCATAGCAGTTTACTGACACAGAAGCCTTTGTCCCTGAAAGGGCACATAATAAAGGATGTCTACAACAGGAAGGCTCCTTTGGTGCTGGATAACTCGGTCAATTTAGGACTTATCAAGGGAAATGACACAACAGCTGGAGAATGAAACTTTTTTCCCTCCCAAGCTACTGATCCCTGGCTAAATGAAAGCATTCACCAAGCTGGAGACAGCATGGGACTGGGATGGTGGAAGATTTCAAAGTGTTGTTCAATCCTCCGTGTAGTGAAGCCATTCTCCCAGCGAGACATCTCTGTTGTTCTTCACCTCATTCTTGAGACTTCTTAGGTGAAAAGTTTTCAGCACAATAACCCATCAATTTCTGTAAATGCAAGTAGTTGTCGGAGGACTGTGCTAGACTACATTATAGAGCTGAGCACTATATTACAGTGGCTCCTGCTAGTGTTGCTATAGTTAAAGGCTTGTCAGCATTACCGTAACAAAGCTTTTATTTTCAGGGGTTTATAACCCTGATGTAAAAATTCCCTTAGGATTGAAACTCCCTATAAAAAGTCTTTTAGCTCACTGAGAGACAAGAAGAGAGGGAGATTTTAGTATATAGATATAGCCTACAATGATTAGAATGTTTGAAGAAGAAATAGAGAAGTTTTACCAAAACAATTATGCCTCTCTCTTTTGTAATTGCACAAGGCTTGCAGTTTAAAATTGAAACTGCATGAGGCTATGTCCCTAGATTATTGTATGCATATATATATACAGATGTTATACATATGGAAACACACACATATTTTATGTAATCTTGAGAAGTGATGAGCACTTCACTTCAACTTTTGTTGAAGCCAAAGGAAGCTGCATGTCTTGACAACTAACATTACATTTATTTCATGCATTTTATGTGCGCGTGTGCGTGTGTGTGTATGGCTATCTGGGCACTTACCCAGATACACACTAAAATCTGTGTGTGTGTGTGTGTGTGTGTGTGTATACACATATTCATATCTTTCATGTCTTTAAAAATATGAAGTATTCCAACTTACGGCATGCATACATATGTATTTGTAATTATTTTGTATGAACATGCTTGAGATTCTTCAGGTTTACAGCACTCTACTGTTTATACAAAGGGTGTGGACACACAGCCATAGGCGACTGGTAGGGGGTGCATGGGGGTGCATGTGCACTGCCTGACATGGCCAGTGCCCCCCGACAGCTGATGCTGATGGTAGGCTGGTGCCCCCCCGACAGGGCCGCTGCCATCAGCAGCTTCTGCGGGTGCAACCCCAGATTCAGGAGGCACCAGTCACTCATGCACACAGCTGTGGTCCTTTCAAAAGGGGAACCTTCAAAAGAGCAGTAGATGTTACACTCTAATTACATATAAACGAACCATACAAGCAAATGTACCTACATACAAATGTAGCATAAAGTAGTGTTAAAGTTGAAGAGGGTTTTGCTATATTTCTATCATTCTTGGTTCATTCACACATAACAATCAGAACATTACAGCTGCTGCCCTTTTGAAAGGGCTCCAAATGGGCGCCATACTCAAAGTATCAGCTTTCTTTAAAGATATGAGATATTCCTACTTAGGGTAAATGCATGACTTATTCAACATATTGGAGGAGATACAATGGGGAGGTGGGGTGTGAAGCTGCCCTTTCAAAATCTTCTCATAAATGTACAGATGCCATATGACCCAATAACTTACAGTGGTTTCAGAGTTTCTCTGAGCGATCCAAATGATAGTGGGCTCCCTTACTACTGTCTTTCCCTTTCTAGCGCTGTGAGTAGGGATATTGCCACAGCTCTATGGACAAATCAGCCTTTCATAGAGCACTGAATGGAGTCCTGAAATTTGTAAACAGCACATTATGGGCATATTTTATGACTGCTTGGGACTGGTGGCATCACTGATTGCTTTTGGGAAGGAAATCAAAATAGACATAGGAAGCCAAGCGATTGTTGGTTTGGACATTATTCTGGTTGAATTCTGCTGCATATTACTGCAGTTGAACCTTTTTGCTTTTTAGGTCTTTTTCTACAATGGAGATGTTGGACTACAGAAGTAGACTGAATTCATCCTTGCAAGTGAGAACAAAACTTACCATGGAATCAAAGAATGAGGGAGAAGACGACCTGATGGGTGCATCCAAATGAGTGCAGACATTTGTTTCCCCAGGGACAAGTAGCAGTGGCACACCTTGTGTTGCTACTACTTGTCCCCAGGGAACACTTGTGCCATGTGTGCTTTGGTGTGTGGGAGGTTACTTCACGTGCCATAGGGGAGGCTGGGGACAGCAACTCTGCTGGCCCCATCAGCCTTACCTGGGATTCTGGTGGCCTATCAGGGCTGCAGCCAAAGTAGGAAGCCTGGCAAACAGCTGGAGTATGACTCCGGCCGGCCAGGCTCCAGTTTTGGGCAGTATATGCTGCAACCATGTGTATCATCCTGCTTTTTTTTGGCAGAGGTTTTTTTACCCCGGGATCCGGGTAAACCTGTCCCCCCACCCCCCTGCTGCGAAGTAGCATCACAGGTAATGCCTGCATGTGAGGTGTATGGCACTGCAGACAGGTCTGTGGCACCATATACTGCACATCTGTGCTTGTCTGGATGAGCCAGATATGTATGGTAGACACCTACTAGAGAAGAACTGCTGAATTAGCAGCATGTTATGTAAAGAGTTTTGAATAATGAACTTAGTAGAAGAGATGGGGCTGAACTGGAACTCTAAAATTTCCCATCCCTGAACTCTGGGGAGAATGATTTCTGAATTAGATTTATAGTATTTAGACAGAGCAAAACCTCACTGAAGTCCTTGGGGAAAACAAGAACATATAAATCTAGTTGATTCAATTGACACTCTGTTATGTAATAGGTTATGTATGTTATTGCCAAGTTAACTGCCATTTTTTGCTGGCTTTATAATTTCCCTTATATCTTAATTTCTCCTTCAATATTTGAATAAACTTAAAAAAATATGGTTGACAGTGTGGACAGGGTGGTACAGTATCGGGGGAAAGGAGGTGTGTGCCAACTACACTGAGTTGTCATGGTCAGTGCAATACATAGATTAAAGAACCAAATGTACATTGAGGTTTGATGCTTTATTGTTTTTAGGCAGCTACTGGCTCCTGCTGAGCAAAGGATGAATCATTTGGGGCTTCCAGGGAGACAGGTATACTGAAAATCTCTCTATAAGTGAACTAGAGAAAGAAGCAGCCACAAATTCTCACTCTTGTGCTGGGGATTATAGTTGGGAAGGAGGAAAGGATCTTGTATCAAAACAGAGAATTCTAAAGCTCTTACAGGGTCTTCCCAACCTTATCCTTTGAAAAGCTTCCTTCTATAGCTGAGAAGTCTTTTTCCAGTGTCAGCTTTTCAGGGACATAATACAGGTCTTGCAGGGCCTTGGTGCGTGCTCTGCTTTGTCCTGAAGAGTGCAAATATTTTTCTCTCTCTTTGGTAATGGACATAAAACTCTACATTGAAAATAGCATGTCTTCCAGGAAAGCAGAACTCTTTGGGCATGTCCTGACAAGCATGCACATGCTTTTTCCCAGGGACAAATTGCACTGGCACAGTATGGGCCACTCTTGCTTGTCCCGGGGGAACACCTGGGACAAGCAGTTTCTTGTGCATATGTGGTCTGGTGTGCAGTAAGTTGCCTGAGGTAGCGTAGGGGAAGTTGGGGCCAGCACCTGGGCTGGTCCCAGCAGCCTTACCTGGAATCCTGGGGCTCCAATGGTGGCTATCTGGTATCAGGGAGACTGGCTGGCAGCTGAAGCGTGGCTCTGGCTGGCCAGGCTCTGGTTTCGGGTGGCGCACACTGCTGCCATGTGCGCTACCCCACTTCTTTCAGGCATGTTTTTTTTTTACCCCAGGATTTCCCGGTGTCAAAATCACCCCCTGAAGTGTAAATTAGCAGTGTCAGAAACACCTACATGTGCAGTGCGTATGGTATGTGGTGCTGCATATCGCAAGTGCATGCTCGCTTGGACCTGTCTCTTGTGTGTAGAATGCTAACAAGTGTGGCTTCCCTGCTGTCAAAGACGGATGAGTGGATAACAGGCAAGATTAGGGAAACAAAGTTAACTGGGTGAGAAAAGGTGTTAAATGTAAATTGCAAATGCATGGAAGCACAAGAAGTGGGGAAAGGGAGAAATAGCTTCTGTTATGTCTACACTGTGACGACAGCATAATCAGCTTTGGAGCAGAATACATTAGGCTGT